CAGAGGAGCCTGCGACGGTCGCAAGAAATCCTCCTCCCTTCCACCACGGTAGCGTCTCCAGGTACCCTTCGACAAGTACAAGGACAAGACCCGAGGATAACGGAACCCTACAGAGTTCAATGCGCGTCAGGCGCGTTAGCAAGGTTGCGGGTAGCTTCTTGAGCGGTCCAGCCCGGCGTGGTCGCCGAAGACAGAGCGAGGAGGAGGGTGAAGGAAACGGAGACGGAGACATAATGTCCAGCCAGGAAACTGATGGTCAACCTGCCGAAGACCAACATGCCGCTTCATATTATGGGGATGGCATCCGGGATTTCAACTCGGGAAGCCCAGTTAGCGGACAAGCCGCCGCTAGAGCAATCCACCGTCGCAATGCTTCCAACATTGATTTACGACTCGGTGCTGCTAGACAATATTCGAGGGAAACATCACCACGGGAATCCACACCAGAAGTGCAGGTCCCAGAGCCAGAAGCTAAACCTGAGCACGAGGAGGAAATCCATTATCGGCTTCCTGCTCCTAGACCAGAGTTGCCTTCTGGTCGCGATCAAGAGAATGATGTTCAGCCAAGCCTCAAGAGAAACAAGCCTTCGATGGATGCGATTTTGGACAAGATGTCGAAACGACCCATGAGCGCCGATCCGGCTCCCGTGAGAGCAGCCTCACCAGACAGGAAACCGCTGGCCTCGATGGCCCGAAACACTCCCCTACGTCACGCTCCTCCCCCACCTCCAAAGATGTCTGTCCTTGAGGCTGCCACTGCCACTGCCGGTGCTGCTACAACCACACAAGCAAAGCAGCGAAGGAACATTCTACGAGTAAATGGCGTTGCCTACACCCGTCTTGATTGTCTTGGCCGAGGTGGTAGTGGAAAGGTTTACCGCGTTGCCGCCGAAAACGGCAAGATGTTCGCCCTCAAGCGTGTTTCTCTGGAGAATGCAGATGACTCGACCATCAAGGGATATCTTGGTGAAATTGACCTGTTGAAGAAACTGGGTGAAGTGGAGAGAGTTATTAAACTGTTTGACTGCGAGATGAACACTGAGAAGCAGGTTCTGACTTTGGTACGTTGAAATAAGCAAGAATTATAAACTATTTGCTGACCTTTGAATAGCTTATGGAGATTGGAGAGCTGGATTTCAATACCTTTTTGCGGAAGCGATATAATCCCGAGGCTGCGAAATTCGATCCAGTTTTCGTGCGATTCTACTGGAAGGAAATGCTTGAGTGTTTGCAGGCTGTTCATCAGTGCGATATTGTCCACTCTGATCTCAAGCCCGCCAACTTTGTTCTTGTTAAAGGTCAACTCAAGCTTATCGACTTTGGCATTGCCAATGCTATTCAAACAGATGAGACTGTCAACGTTCATCGTGAGACCCAAGTCGGGACCCCAAACTATATGTCTCCAGAATCTCTTATGGACTCTAACAACCCCCGAGGAGGCCGTGCCCCTGGCCGACCCAAACTCATGAAGCTTGGCAAACCCAGCGACATCTGGTCTCTGGGCTGCATTCTGTACCAGATGGTTTATGGTCTGCCACCATTTGGTCACATTGCCAACCAGATGTCAAGATGCCAAGCTATTATCAACTGGGACCATGATATCGAGTTCCCCTCTCGCGGTATGGGTGGCATGTCCGTTCCTCCTTCTCTCATCCGCACCATGAGACGCTGCCTCCACCGTGACCACCATATGCGCCCGAACTGCGAGGAGCTCCTGCACGAGTCTGACCCCTTCTTGTACCCTGCTGAGCTCACCGATAAGGCTCTTCCCATTGACGAGGAACTGCTTGGCAGAATCATCCAGAGTGTGGTGACAAGATGTCGCGAGCGGATGCCCACCGAGGCTGAAAGCCTCAGTGTTTGGCCACAAGCTTACTGGGCCAGTGTAAAGAAAGCCATGGCCGGTAGGATGTGACCGGATAATTATGTATAATGTTGGAGTTGTCGAGGCGCAATTGCTTCCTGGATGAATGTTTTATGATCAACTTGACCGGATTAGAAAGAGAATATTTTATAGCTGGGTGTTGAGGAGTATTATTCTTGTTGTCTTTCGCTGCATAAACAAATACCTACTTTTTTTTTTCTTTTCATTTTAGGCATAGGGGCTTTTATCATAGGTAATATGGAATGGCTTTCGACAGTCAATGGTGTTTATGGCTTAAACGACACGACCGAGCAGGTTCATGAATAGAACATTTTTCAGCGTCTTCAAGATTGGAACTTTTCATGATCTTTACAAAATTTGCTGTATTATTGTACAGCCAGCTCTGAGCTGGTAATAGTACATTGTTTCATGGCGTTTCCTGTTTTGTTTTTACATGTACAACAACGTCTTCCAGTTGAAACTTTCATTCCTCATTCTCATCTTTATTCGATATCCTCCCCGTTGTTGATGTTCAGCTCCGAGATCCGTAGAATTGTGTATCGGTGCTTGCTCTTGGCCTGTCTCATCCTTCGCTGCCTCCTCTTCTTCTTGATCTTGATGCGCAGAGGCTCAGATTCTGTTCCAATAACCGTAGCCCTGCACTCAAAAACCCGCTCATCGATATGAGGAGCGCCCTTCATGGTGTAATCTCTGCTACCGAGGACGCTGGCACGGTTGAGCCGTAGGACATCGCCAGGTTGAACACCGGGCATGCGGAAAGGCAGACGGACCTGATCACCCTCCCGGACAAGGTACGGGAATCCGTGGACATGAACGGTGATATAATGATCCGGTTGAGCGGCCAGGAATGGTAGAAGGGTCTTGACAGAGTCGTCCATGGGCTTTGGAGGTGGATTGGGATGGCTGACTTTGAGAGCTAGAGGTCGGGGCTGGTTGGCAGTAGGATTGGCCGCATTCTTGGGGTGACGCTCAGGGAACGTTTGCTCGATGATGGGCGCTGTGGTGTTGAACGCGCGGGTTCGAATCGGCAGTAGAGATGAGGGGGCCGAAAATCGGGCGCTGGGAGCTCGGAGCTCCAGCATGGAGCGGAAAAGTGCCCTGCTCATTTTTGATAGCAGTGCCTTTCAGGCTTGAGCACTATCGCTGGTCAATTGGACGGGGAATTGAGCTGTCGTCCTCGAAGTATTGAATTGTATCTCAAAAAAGTTCAAGGTGCCCGTTCATGGGTCGACCCGGAAAAGCGTAGCACCGAGCACCGACCAGCTTAGTTTGGTACCAGTACCGCCTGCGATAAACCGCCACTTTTTTTTATCGCTGGGGAAATTTCAGCATCACCTCAACCAGATATAATCAAGTCCCGACCTGGGCTATACCGACAACATGGTATGCATCAAAACTTGCACAATTGAAGTTGATTGCTAATTCCTCTACAGCCTCAGAACGAGTATATGGAAAGATGGCGCAAGCTTCACGGTCGTCGTCTTGACCACGAGGAACGAGTTCGCAAGCGTACCGCCCGTGAGGGTCACAAGGCCTCTCAGGATGCCCAGAACCTGCGTGGTCTCCGGGCCAAGCTTCACCAGCAGAAGCGACACAAGGAGAAGATTCAGATGAAGAAGCAGATCAAGGCGCACGAGGAGCGCAACGTCAAGACCGCCGACGAGAAGGACCCTACGACACCCATGCCCTCCTACCTTTTGGACCGTACAAATCCTTCAACTGCCAAGGCCCTCAGCAGCGCTATCAAGAACAAGCGAGCCGAGAAGGCTGCTAAGTTTGCTGTCCCATTGCCCAAGGTCCGCGGAATTGCCGAGGAAGAAATGTTCAAGGTCGTCAAGACCGGAAAGAAGATCCAGAAGAAGGCCTGGAAGCGCATGGTCACCAAGCCCACCTTTGTCGGACCCGACTTCACTCGCCGCAACCCCAAGCACGAGCGCTTCATCCGACCCATGGGTCTTCGTTACAAGAAGGCCAATGTCACACACCCCGAGCTTGGTGTTACCGTTCAGCTGCCCATCATCAGCGTCAAGAAGAACCCCCAGAACCCTCTATACACTCAGCTCGGTGTTCTGACAAAGGGTACCGTCATCGAGGTCAACGTCAGCGAACTTGGTCTGGTCACCGCCGGTGGAAAGGTTGTTTGGGGTCGTTACGCTCAAGTTACCAACAACCCAGAGAACGAGGGCTGCATTAACAGCGTCCTTCTGGTATAATGCGCTCAACAGCGTCCACGCGTGATGTTGAAGAGATTCGTTTGTTCAAGTTCGAATGCATGTATTGGCGCCAAGGCGTTTTTGGGTTACCGCGCGAAAAGAAAACAGGCCGTGATGGTAGATGGTTGGTAAACGGGTTGATTGTCGACTGAAGATTCCCAGTTGTGATGAAGAAGACTCACTCGAGTTATGGGCCACGCTCTGCGGTTGGCAGAACTTGATATATGGCCATAGATAGATAAATTTAAGATCTAGAGGTTGCGCTAACTGGCATCGATTTCTGGTTATGCTACAAGTACTCCTTCTGATCCAATTTGCATGAAGCTTTATGCTCTGTTGGTAGCCCAGGCCATGGAAGTAGCCTTGTCCCATGCCAAATACATGCGAGGGACGAAGTCGGTATTAACAACCAAATCTACTGCCTAAGAGAATATGCCTGGTGACAGTGTAATTTCTAGTCGATTCATGACTTGAGAAATAAGTGTCAAAAATACCGCCTTTCTCCTCTAATGGTTTACCTTGACTCGGTGTACGGAAATTTTCTGCCTTATCTGATCAGCTCTTGAGCAGGGAGGGAGGCAAGAGGTCCATACCTGCTGGCCTGCCCACCTATTTCTCTAGAGCTACTAGACCCAAAACGAGCTGGTGTTGAAAACAGGGTCCCTGCTGTCCATACTAGGTACTTCCTCTAAAAATTCGGGCGGTGACGCCGATAAATTATTTTCTGCCCGAACTAGCAAAATCGCATCCGTCTGTGGTCCCCCATCTCGCCCGCCGAAACTGTATGCTCCGTTTTGCGACTCAATCTTTTTTCCTCTCTATTTTTCTTCCTCACTCAACCTCAAATTACACAACCATTCTCTCCAGTTCAAAATTTCCATAACCCCCAACAATTCTTCAAAATGAGCGGAGATAAGATGGACGTCGAGGTCGCGGAGCAGAAGATGAACTCCATGGAGCACAGCGAGCAGCACTACTTCAAGAGGTAAGTTTGGAAAACCCAAGCCAATTAAGAGAAATCGTTGTATACTAACAGCGCTTTGCGATACAGCTACGATCACCATGGTACGAACAAAAAACATCCTATTTTATACTGAAGCTATAAGAACTCTTTACTGACTGGTTATTTGTTGCTTTGCAATAGGTATTCACGAGGAGATGTTGGTATGTGCTTCCCTTCCCTACATTATAGCCCTTGCGCTTCTGTTTTGAGCTATCCGCTGACCATGTTGCTTCGGTGTCTTTAGAAAGATGAGGTCCGAACACGATCGTATATGAACGCCATTATGCAGAACAAGCACATTTTTAAGGACAAGGTCGTTCTCGATGTTGGCTGTGGAACCGCCATTCTCTCCATGTACGTGCGCAACAAGACCCTGCAAAAAAACTGCCCCTCGTCGTGCCCCGCGTTTGCAGAACGACAAGCTCCCGCAATACGCGCCATTCTGGACAAAAAAGCAGATGGAATTGATCGAATTTGAATTAACAATTACTGTTATAGGTTTGCTGCTAAGGCCGGTGCTAAGCATGTTATTGGTGTCGACATGTCCACCATCATTTTTAAGGCCCGTGAGATCGTCAAGATTAACGGCCTTTCTGACAAGATCACTCTTCTCCAGGGCAAGATGGAGGAGGTTGAGCTCCCCTTCCCCAAGGTCGACATCATCATTTCCGAATGGATGGGATACTTCCTCCTTTACGAGTCCATGCTTGACACCGTCCTCTACGCCCGTGACACTTACCTTCAGAAGGATGGCTTGATCTTCCCCGACAAGGCCACCATCTTCTTCGCCGGTATTGAGGATGGCGACTACAAGGAGGACAAGATTGAGTGTGAGTATTCATTTTAGCTCAAACTTGACTCTTGGGCACAGTAGCTAATGATTTCTAGTCTGGAACGATGTTTACGGTTTCGACTACACCCCCCTCAAGGCCACTGCTCTCTGTGAGCCCCTCGTTGACACTGTCGAGGTCAAGGCTGCTGTCACCGACCCCGCTCCTGTCCTTACCCTCGATCTTTACACCTGCACCGTCGCCGACCTGGCTTTCCAAGTGCCCTTTAAGCTCTCCGCTAAGCGCGACGATTTCATCCACGCCCTGGTGTCGTGGTTTGATATTGACTTCACCGCCTGCCACAAGCCTATCCGCTTCTCAACAGGTCCCCACACCAAGTACACTCACTGGAAGCAGACCGTTTTCTACTTTGAGGATGTCCTCACCGTCCAGCAGGGCGAGGAGATCCAGCTCAACCTTGATGTCCGACCTAACGATAAGAACAGACGTGATCTTGACATCAAGATTGCCTACGAGCTCGAGACCCAGGACGCCAACCGCTCCTCCAAGGGCGCTCTCGAATACCGCATGTGCTAAGTGGCTTTTTCAGTAAGCACATGCCTACCTACTTGTTGTAATGACTACACGAAAAAATAAAATCGAGAGTATGAATTGATTTGAGGGAGGAGGCTAGACACTCTTGAGTTTGGGAAACGTACAAGGCGGACGGCGTCTTCTTGCATCTTACACGGGGTAAATATTGCTGTTAGATAACTCCAGAAGGAGAAGAAAACATGAGCGCGAGGGACGGTTTGGTAGATTGACGACCCGTTATGAGTGATACCACAAAGAAGACCACTCCGGATTCACCTAGTCAATAGATCTTTGCTTTGATATGTGTTCTGCTTTGATTTCACATGCCGGTTCCAAACAGTTAATTTGAGTGATTAGAGTAAAGAAACTTTTCATTCATCGTTAAATTGGGCTAAGCATACCACTCATTGTCCCAGAGGGCCCTCTGAGTCTGAGTTTGATAACATAACTATTCTTTTGGAAACCTCCTCTTGTTTCCTTTTCTCCTTTCTTTTGAACAATTGCTTCCCCACATGCTCGTCCTGTAGTGGGCGTGTCCTAACCTTCTGCTCAATTTTTTTTGTTAATCTGAGAAAACAAAGATTTCTTCATCCAAGTCTTGCTCGCTGCAGTTTTGGCTGCTCGATTCTTGCCCACCTGAATCTTGTTCACTCGAGAATAGTCCACTCGTGACTAGTTCACTCCATTTTCGTTCTCGTTCATGCGAGTTTCGTTTACTCGAGCCTCGTTCACCCAAGTCTAGTTCGCCAAAGTCTAGTTCACCCAAGTCTGACCGATATATGAGATTTTCCTAAGAACCGAACTGCTTGACGATTTGAGCAACCTTGTTAGCAAGTTCATCCGCCTCGGAGCGGGTCGCAGCCTCAGCATAGACACGGCATGCATTCTCAGTACCACTTGCGCGGGCAAAAGAGCGAGCACTGGTGTACTTCTTAACACATTGGTCGATCTCGTCCTGAGCACCCACGGGGTGGCTAAGGCGACGCTCCGCGTCGGTGGTTTGGAAGAGGTCTTTGTTGCCGACCTCGACACGGACAAGTCGGTTGGGGAGGTCGTTGTAGGTCATAGCCCAGTCCTTGAGGGTCCAGCCTTTGTGGGCAAGAATGACTTCCACCATGAGCATGTCAGAAATGGCATCACCAACGGTCTGGTTGATCAGATCGCTGACGGCAGCGAGAGTCTCGAGAGCATCTTTCTGAGCAGGAGACTGGGGCTCAGTCTCACGGAAAGCACGGATAGCCTCCTGAGAGAAGACAACAGTACCGTGGCCGTTAGCCTCGAAGTAAACGCCAACATCGAACTGGCAAGCGGCGTGGTGCAAGTGCTTCACACCTGTGGGAGTGAAAACAACGGGGAGGCCAAGATGCTTCTCGATATAGTTGGTGCTGGCACCATTGGCATAGGCGGTCTGAACGACACCGATACGGAGGTCATCTTGAAGGCCAGCAGAGCGAACAAGGTCGCCGATGAAAGAAGCGTTAAGCGAGGAGATACGGTCACCGTCGAGCATGAAGAAACCGGTATCGGGGTCGACCCAGTAGTAGATCAGACGATCGGCGTCACCGTCGAGAGAACAACATCGGGCACCGGGAACGGGCTTGGGGCTGGGCGGAGCTCGCTGCTTGGTCTTGACGAAGTCGGCACCAGACTGGAATTAAGTAAGTAATTGCTCCTTGGTCCAGGAGTTTGAAGTCAACTTACATCCAGGTTGAGAACCTCGGGACGGAGGACGTCGTCGTTGACAACCTTGACGTCGATGGTGCCCTCAGGGACGACCTTAAGGAAATCGGAGAGTTTGGGACCACCAACACCGTTGGCGCAATCAACGATAAGCTGACCCTGGGGCTTTCGGCCCCGTAGAGCACGGGTAAAAGCCTCAGACATCTTTTCATAGTAGCCCTGCTCGCTGACCTTGCCGTATGCTTTGGGGGTGCCTTCAGTGTTGACGCAACGGGTCAGGTAGTGAAGCTGGGGGGTGGTGAGGATCTTGTAGTCGGTGTAGTCGGTGTTTGTGGCCTCGAAAGCATCGGCGAGAGCAGTAACAAGGGAGTGACCGGAGGGACGAGTATCACGGCCGTAAACAACTCGACCAGGAGAAGAAAGATCGATCTTGAGCTGGGTAGCCAGAGCCTTGTAGTTGTCGAGAAGCTCCTGATCAGAAGGAGAGTTGACAAGCTTGGTGGCATAGGCCTCCCACTCCTGCTCAAGCATCTCACCCATGGGGTCAACAATCTTGACACCATTGTCGATAGCCGGGTTGTGGCTGGCAGTGATCATGACACCAATGGCCTGGCCATTGAGCTTACGACTTCGCAGACCGGACAGGAGACCGACACGGAACGAGACGCCATCGAGAAGGTCGGCCTTCATGCGGAACCCCGCAGTGCCATAGTTGTAGACATGGTTAGGCACGATAGGGTGCTTGGCCGAAGCGGCGAGGAAGTTTTCGTCAGACATTCTACGTATTCTTGTGGTGAGATGAACTAATGAAGATGGGATGAAAGAAGAAAACAAACAAGACGGGGACGCAGGCGGGAGGAGAATGTAAAAGAAAGATGGAGCTTGAAATGGATTCCTTTTTTGAAACGATCGAAGCCTCCGCAGTAACGAGGCGGGGGGAGACTTTCTACAGCTGTATACGGGCTGATACCATGGAGGGGCACAAGAGCTACGAACAGTGCTTACCTACAGGGGCCAACTGTTCATAAAGTTGGAAAAATACACTGCAATATGGGCGGCCAGTACAACCCAGCCACCTGGACTTGCACATACATGCTGGAAGCTGAACTGTGCTTCTAAACGGTTGGCTTGGCGACCTCACTCTACCCGGGTAAACTGATGGCTTAACGGGGCTACTCAGTAATCTTTTAGCGGTCAAAATACTATTTATGATACATACCGCCTCAATCGAGTGGATTCTTTGATGTTGGGTGCTATAAAAAGTTACAGTAGAGCTCTCTTTGATGGGAGTGCTCCGCTTCCTGAAGCTTAGTGTGTTGTAGCGCAGGTGGGAGCTTTAGTTGCTTTAATTGGGTGGATTTGCTACAGCGCCCTACCCGCAGAGAATCAGTTTGCAACCTGAGCAGTAGGTTGGTTCAGGGTCTCACGTCAGCCAATATTAGCAGCCCATCGATACAGGGTTTACACTTCTCACCGCCCGAATCCTTGGGTCGTATATTACACGTGAATTCGTGTCATCCTCCCCCCTGTCGTTGTCAACGCGAAACTGTCGTCGCGTCTTACTTCCCAACTGGCGGCAACACCAAACCTCCAAGACTGCCTTGAGTTGGCCACTCATCTCATTTCTGACTTCAATCTCCAGTCACTCTTTTTTGATAGAGTCCAAGCCGCGCCTTCATCATAAGGCAATTCAAAGTGGCGACATGGCTGACGCCGACTCGGCCAATCCCCAATTTCTGGAGTGGGTGAAAGAATGGTTGGATTTAGCTCGGGAACGCAATTCCAAAGGCGTTACCACGTACCGGACAGCGTACAACTCGTTGAAAGCATGTCCCATTAATTTTGAGCACCCCGCACAGTTGCAACAACTCAAAGGTTTCGGCCCTAAACTCTGCGATCGTCTTGAACAGCAATTGAAGAAACACTGTGAACAGAATGGCCTCCCAATGCCTCCGCATCCAAGGTCCCGTAAAGCGGCACCGGTTACTGGCGATGACAACGGAGAAGGCTCTTCAAAGCCTGCGAAAAAGGCACGCAAGCCCAAAGCCTACGTTCCTGCTCTTCGATCTGGAGCTTTTGCCTTAATAGTAGGACTCTCAACCCTGGATGAAGACGCCGCCACAGGAATGACCAAAGTCGAACTCATTGAAGTTGCGCAGCCGTACTGTGATTCATCTTTTTCCGCTCCTAGCGATCCCACCAAGTTCTACACTGCCTGGAACTCGATGAAAACTTTGCTGCAGAAGGAGCTAGTATACGAAAGAGGGCGGCCGTTAAGGAGATATGCTCTGACCGACGAAGGATGGGAAGTTGCCAAGCGTATAAAGGACACCGACCACTGGCAGGCTGAAAAGGGTAGGGTTAAGGATCCTACCTCAGCACAACCAGTTATTCCGAACTTCCAGCCCGAAGCCGTTTCTAGACAAGAGTCGCCTTCCGTGGAGATCGCCGAACCACCGCAAGCTCCATCAGAGTATCAAAATGTTGTATCTGATGGTCCAACGGCGTCAGACAATGCCTCGTTGCCCAACTTTACTCCAATACTATTACCTCCAGGAACCTTTACCGTCCAGTTAGTTCTAGACGTTCGCGAAGTAAGGGCCAAGACAGACCGCGACTACATGCAAGAGGAACTTGCAAAACAGGGTGCGAAACCCATCATGCGTAGCATGGAGCTTGGCGATGCTCAGTGGGTCGCGAAATGCAACGACCCGAATCTGCTCTCATCACAAGGTGCCGAAGGTGATGAGGTTGTGCTGGACTGGATTGTCGAAAGAAAACGTCTTGATGATTTGATCGGGAGTATCAAGGATGGCAGATTCCATGAGCAAAAATTTCGCTTACAACGGTCCGGCGTGAAGAAAGTGATTTACATCATTGAGGAAATTGGAATGGACCCAGAGGTGATTAACAGATACGCCGAAGCAGTACGATCGGCTATCGCTTCGACGCAAGTAGTTAATGGCTACTTTGTCAAGAGAACGAACAAGATGGACGAGACAATCAGATACCTCACACGGATGACTGCTATGCTGAAACGGACGTACGAGAGTAGATCCCTGCACGTCATACCTACCAAGGTCCTTACATCGCAGAATTATCTTCCACTGCTGAAGCACCTCAGGGAATCCATATCTCCAGATTGGTACATTACCTACCCGGCCTTCTCCTCGCTTGCGTCAAAGTCAGAGTCCATTACGTTGCGAGACGTATTCTTGAAGATGCTCATGACTATCAAGGGCGTCACAGGAGAGAAGGCACTTGAGATACAAAAGCGTTGGAAAACACCTAACGATTTTGTCAAAGCTTTTGAGGCATGCGGAACTGGTGAGCAGGGTTTGAAACGCAAGCGCGAGTTGGTTTTCAGTGAAACAAGTCACCTCGTCGGGCGAAAGAAGTTTACGAAGCCGCTGAGCACCAAAATCGCCGAAGTTTGGGGCGATGCATAAAGGTTTGTGTAGGAGATTCTGCTCGTATACGTATTTTGACGGGGGAAAAGGATATTGTAAGTATTTTGGTACGTATGATCGAACGGCATTGAACGCTAGTATGATAGGAATTGGTATTAGGCGTTTGTGGTGTTGAAAAGGCAGCAAGTCACATTCTTAAGAGCATCAGGGTATAATGATGAGGAATGGTACCCAGGCCATTAACTATTAAAATCTATCCAATCCTTTATTGCTTTGCGCCAAATCCTTGTGCCACGATCCTCTCAACAATCTTCTCAATGAAAGGGAATGAGGCTGCAGATCCCGGTTCGGATCCGACAACGCCGCCAAGTGACTTCTCAGCATACTTGGCCATCATGTCCACCTCGATGTTGACTGTGTCACCCTCTTTCTTCTGCGCCACAACAACTCTCTCCTGAGTGTAGGCGATCAGCATCACCTCCCACCAGCCCTCCTGGTCATTGACCTTGGTGACGGTCAAGCTAGTGCCGTCAATGGCGATGTAGCCCTTGTACACAACGTACCGCAGCATGTCTTTGCGGGCAGGCTGGAAGCGGAAGGTCAGGGCGTTGCCGTCCTTGGTGACAGACAGGATCTTGGCGGTGGTATCGACGTGGCCCTGGACAAAGTGGCCGCCCATGCGTGTATCAGCACGGACAGCGCGCTCAAGGTTGACGTTGCTGTTCTCCTTGAGGTCACCCAGGTTGGTGATTCTCAGAGTCTCGGGGGCTACACCAATTGTGAAGGCTTCAGGCGTGAAAGAGGTGACGGTGAGACAAACACCATTGACAGAGATGGAATCGCCATCATGGCAGTCGGAGAGGAGCTGAGAGCCAGAAGGGATAGAGATGGTCAAAGAAGTGCCGCCAGTAGAATCATTGTTGTCAAGCTTGGAGACAACTAAAAGGTTGTGAGTCAGTTGACTTGACCAAGTTTGAGTGTGCTAAGACTGACCTCCTACTTCCTCTACAATTCCGGTAAACATGATAAGTTCGTTATTTGTTCTATAGTAGTTGTTGGATTTAGGTATTGGTGTTGATAGTTGTCTTGAAGTTCGAGGCGCGATGACAAATGCTCTAATAAGTCGGACTGGATGCTGATGATATATTCCACTTTGCCCCGCGAGTGCCCCGCATGGGGGTGAAAGAAATATCAGGACAGATTTTGTTCTTTAGTGGTTCAAATATCGTGTAGACGCTCCACTTGCACAGGGTACGGAGATCTGTTAACGAATTAATTCTGTCAACTCTTGCCCCTCGGTCGATAAATGTCCAAAGTTTCTGGTCTGGACATCACGGATGAAAAGAGTAGTGGTTTGATCAAGAATGTTGAAGTTTGACATCGATTGCACACGAAACAGTATTTTTCAACCTCCCATGGCCGCTTTTACTAGTCTCACCGGTAAATCTCTCATGATGGATATTCGAAAGAACAAAAAACATGAGCCATCGAAACTCACATGAATGAATGAGCTGGCTTGGCTTGTCATGGGCCGTTATCGATAAGGCCCGCCTAAATTTTTCAGTTTCCCACTCAACACCAAAGCAGGCTTCTGAGAGCAAGCCTGCTCAATACACATCATCTCATTTTCACTTCCTTCAACTATCGAGATTTTACTCGATCTTACTCCCCCTATAAATCTTGACTTACTACCAGTCATCTTAATATTTATATTAGTGGCATTCACTATAACTCTGTCCGCCCAACTTCTCATATCAGCTCTCCGCTTCACCAACATCATGGCGCCCTCAAGACCCGAAACAAAAAAGACGAATCCTGACATCGCAAAACTCATTGTTGATGCGCAGACTCAGCTTGAGGTGGGAAGACTAGAGGAGGCTGCTACACTTGCCCAGCAGGCTCTCGACGCCACCGGCCAAGGTGGTGACTTTGAGCTCAGCGCTGCCAACCTTTTGGGTACTATCTTTATCGAGTCTGGTGACATTGACGAGGCCCGGGCTGCTTTTGAGCGTGCGGTTCACCTCGACCAAGACGGAACCGTGGACGAGAAAATTGGTGGTGGCCCTGAGAAGTTCCTCCTTCTCGCCCAGCTCAGTGAGGAGGGTGGTCTTGACACCGTTCAATGGTATGAGCGTGGTGCGACGGCGCTCCGAAAGCAGATTGCAGTACTGAGCGAGATTCGATCACCCACCCCTCAACAAAAAACATCCCTTCAGGAGAAGCAACACAAGCTGGCCGGAGTCCTCTGCGCTGTTGCCGAGGTGTATATGACCGACTTGTCGTGGGAGCCCGATGCCGAATCACGCTGCGAGACTCTTATTACCGAGGCTATGCTCCTCGCACCCGCGGCTCCTGAGACCTGGCAAACAGTTGCAAACGTTCGAATTTCACAGAGCCGTGCCAACGAGGCCCAGACCGCTCTGCGCAGGAGTCTTGAGTTGTGGCAGAACCTTCCCCCCAACCACCCTGATGTTCCCGAGTTTCCCACCAGAATTGCTCTCGCCCGCTTGCTGATGGAGACCGAACTGGAGGATGAGGCCTTGGGTGTGCTGGAGCGTCTTGTCACAGATGATGACACTAGTGTTGAGGCTTGGTATCTTGGCGGCTGGTGTCTTTACATCACCGGTGAGAAGCAGAAGACCACTGCCTCCAAGCCATGGAATGAAGTTACCAAGGACAACGAGGAGTGGAAGGGGCTGTGGAAGTCATCGAGACAGTGGCTTTCTCAGTGCTTGAAGTTGTTCGATATGCAAGAGTACGAAGACGAGCGACTCGGAGAGCACGCCAAGGAATTGTTGTCATGTATCAACAAGGAGATCGGTGAGCCAGCTGATGGCGAGTTGGATGACTGGGAAGACCCCAGCGACGGCGAGAACGATGATGATGCCGAGATGCAGGGTTGATTGTTTTATATCGAAGGCTTAGACGGAATGGATTAAAAAGCATTTGGTACGGCGTTTTGGAAGAAAAATGGGCATGTCTAGAGAAAATCTTGCCACTAGAATTTAGTTAAAACTGAACGGATTACCTCCGAGTCTATATCAGAACCTATGATCCGTGAACGCGGCAGCAGTGAGCTTTTAGTCTTTTCCCGCTTTCTTCTCAGTGATATCGTCTATCATCTCATCTCATAGAAGACTGCTCGCTATTGCCTTGTATTTGTATTTATATTCGTATCCAAGCCCAAACTCCAAGTAATGCACCTTTGCTATATGGCCCCTTATACAGCCTCAACCTTGAGCTTCTCAACACCCTCCACAGGCATGTCGTCATCCTCTTCATCGTCACCCTTACCAGCAAGACCTCTCTCCCAAAGCTGTCTGCCCGATAAGCGAGCAGGCTCCTTGACCTTTGCCTTTTTCATCTCAGCTAGACGATCGTCCTCTTCCTGTTGCCTCTTCTCCTCCATCTCCTTTATGAAACCCTCGCGCCACTTAATAAAAGTCTCAGGAGTCACACGGGTACCGTGGAATTTCTTGTTCTCCTCTGCCTCTGCAGCCTGGGCAGCTTCCTCGTGGGCCCTTGTGATGACATCCTTGCGCTCTTGGATTAGCTGCTCGGCATTATCCTTTAGTGTAGAAACTATCGCAAAGATCATTGCCATGCCGAGGTTTTCTTGGATGGTCTCGTCGAGGCTGGCGAGAAGCTGGTCGCGATCTTCTGCGACATTGAAATGTTCGTGGGATATGGCATTGGGAGGAGCTAGGATGTCTAGATGGGGTGGCTTTTCGGGATAGTCTTCTGGATACCTCACTTGGAGGAGCATGCTCGGGGGTTCTTGATCTTCTTCATCGGGAATATCTAGTGCGACTGAGACTCTAAACTCGGTTTCAGAAATGTCTAGAAAATGATTAGACACAGGCAGATCTTAATAGGTGGATTTTTTTGAACTGGAGATTGTACCTGTAATTTCTTCAGGGAAAATTGACTCGAGAACCTCGCGCTCTTCAACTTGATCTTCCCGTCCCATTTTGATGATTTGACCAAAAGGCTCTAAAACGTAAAATATTACTTTTGATAGAGTCTCGAAATGACGAGAGTCCTCATGAGGGTGGGGAGGTTTACAGACGGCGGGGTGACGGGAGAGACTAAAGAGGCTTAGTGTCTTGCTGACCGCCCGGCAGTTTCTCATAATCGCAGGCTCAGTCACTTCAAACCTCATCATAATACAATGATGGTTTCCATTATAAATTACCGTCCATGTTTAGATTTACAATTGAAGCAACTGTATCATACAATCTCTTACATTATTTCTGCAATACCGTGGCTTTGTTTCGTGTGAGAGCCGTAAATCCCTTCTGTTGCTATTGACCTGGTAATTGTATGATAAGGTCTCACAGATTTTACTTCGATCTTGCTTAGATTAATACTTTAGCTAAGAAGAACTATAATCTACACATACTTCTAACTCGGGACATATAGGTAGGCTCAATTGAGCAAGAACATACAGTATAAATTGACCTACTATGTTAGTCACTATAAGGTGCACGTGACAATCTCGACTGCATTAAAAAAGAACGGGTCTCCTCTTATCAGTTAGCCTAGCGGCCAAACGTTACCTTATCAGTAGGAAAAAAAAGTTGAAGTCTCAACTCTGCGACCCTGCATCCACCCATATACCCATATCGATCAAATTCATAACAATGGCTACCAAATCTGCAGCCGTTGGCGACAAGAGAAAGTCCGCTCCTAACGGCAAGTACCAGGCTTCTTCCAAGTTCAGCAAGAAGCCTAGACTCGATGAGAGAAAGGTCAAGAAGGAACCTGTGAAGGAGTCGGAGGATTCTGACGAGGAAGATGGCGGTGCCGATCTGAGCGAAGAGGCTCCCAAGAGGTCTTCAAATGGTGCTGGAGATGGAAACAACTTTGAGCGAAGTATGTTGTATTCCTCAATTCCCATGCGCAACTATTCAATGCTAACCCTTTTTCAGCTTCCGGTCAAACTTCACGCGAATCCCATGCCAAGCAGAAGCAGCTCGCCCAGGAGCGCAAGGCCGCAAAGCCTCTTGCTGACGAAGTCCAACGCACAAAGAAGCTGTGGGAGAGACTGCGACGAAAGTCCCATGTTCCCAAGGAGGAGCGACAGACATTGGTTGATGAACTGTTCACCATCATCACCGGTCGCATCAAGGATTTCGTCCTCAAGCACGACGCCGTGCGCGCTGTCCAGACCGCCATCAAGTACGCCTCACCCGATCAGAAGAAGCAGATTGCTCGCGAGTTGACGGGCACATACGCTCAGCTTGCCGAGAGTCGATATGCCAAGTTCCTGATTGGAAAGCTTCTGGTCCAGAACGACGAGGAGATCCGAGATATCATTATTCCCGAGTTTTATGGCCGTGTCCGAAAGATGATTAACCACCCCGAAGCTTCATGGATTCTCGACGATGTCTACCGAGGTGTTGCGACAAAGGAACAAAAGGCCATCCTTCTGCGCGAGTGGTACGGTCCCGAGTTCTCTCTCCGAGAGCTCACCAAGGATACAAACCCTACTTCCGACCTCAAGGCCATCCTTGAGGCTGAGCCTAGCAAGCGAGGTCTCATCATGAGGAGTCTGGTTGAAATTATCGGCTCACTTGTCAACAAGAAGATGACCGGTTTCACCATGCTCCACGACGCTATGTTCCAGTACTTCTCTGCCACCCAGCCTGGCACAGAAGAGTTCACCGAGTTCTTTGAGATGGTCAAGGGTGACGAGAGCGGAGATTTGCTCAAGAACATGGCTTTCACCCGCAACGGCGCCAAGCTTACCTGTTTGCTCCTGGCTCACGGATCCTCTAAGGACCGAAAGCAGATTCTCAAGACTTACAAAGACACTTTCCTGCTAATGTCTGGCGACATCTGGGCACACCTCATTATTCTTACTGCCTACGATGTTATTGATGACACTAAGCTTACTGCCAAAACCATCTTCCCTGAGATCCTCGGCGAGGGTGAGAGCCTTGCTCAGAACGTTGTTGCTGCAGCCAACAACCCCTTTGCCAGGACAACGATTCTTTATCTCTTCGAGGGGCTTGCCAAGTCTCTATTCCCCCCCAGCCAGTCATTCGAGGTTGAGATTCTCAAAGAGGTTCACGAGATCCGTCAGACAACGAGTAAGAAGGATGAGGACATTCGCCGCAATGAACTCGTCACTGCTATTTCGCCTCAGCTCATCTCTGTCATTGGTGAGGTTCCTTCCGAACTTACTGCCACCGCTTTTGGCTGCCAATTTGTCACAGATGTCCTCCTCTCGGGAGTTGGTGACAAGCAGCAGGCTCTTGAGGCCATCGCCCAGTCAGCCAGTGGCAACCCCAGCGAGGAACCAGCAGATGATGATCTTCAGCCCCAGGTACACATCTCAAGGACTCCCCACGGTGGCCGCATGCTGAAGTCGCTGATCCAAGGCGGCAAATACGACAAGGCTGCCGGCAAGATTATCCCCGTTGACCCTCCTCTCGAGTTCTCCAACGTCCTCTACCCAGTCATCAAGGAGCACATTATGGACTGGGCCACCGGACCCAGCTCATTCGTTGTTCTTGGTCTTCTTGAGGCCGGCGACTTTGGAGAGACCGATGCGCTCAAGAAGACGCTCAAGAAGAATAAGAAGACCCTTGAGAAGGCCGCCACCGAGGAGACCCCTGAGCAGAAGGCTGCTCGTGAGGCTCACGAAGCTGCGCCTAAGGATGCCAAGAAGGGCAAGAAGAAGGCAGAGAAGAAGTCCGTTGGTAATGCTGGTAGCAGGCTGTTGCTGGAGAAGTTGTAAACGTAAAGCCGAAGAGATCGGGTCATGGATAGAGAGATGTGGTGTTTTAATTATCATATATCAGGCGTTTAAAACTAGGGTGTTTTTGACAATGATATCACGGACTGATATGTTCCTTGCTTGTCTATCTTCACAATATTTCCTGGACCTAGATGGCGACTATTGGGACATGTAAGCAACACATTTACGTGAGGAAACGATGTTGCATGACGAACAATTGGAGTTGCATCCGCTTCTGCTAATAGACCTCCTAAATCCTTGTTTTCTTTTCTGCAATTGTATGATGTGCTACGGTTAGGGGTACAGTTTCGCGCCGTTGGAGTCACACATGGCAGTGAATTGTTTGCTCGGCACTGTTTCGGTGTTGATACTTTCGTAAAAACCATCTTCGGATTATAGAGATGCAGGCGTGGTGCTATGTAGGTAGAAAGACTGACTGAATAGCACATTGACATTCAGATAGATAGGCACGCTTTATATATGCATTCAGGTGAATCGAACTGGGGGGCTTATTCACATTCGTTCCTAATTACTCGTTTCATAAATTTGTGTTTTTATTGAGGTAGTACAAAGGGGGAAGTACAAGATAGATACAAGATGCACACGGGCCACTATGAGATACTTTGTATGACTATATCTTGCCATGGCAGTTGGATGTACTACATCAATAAAACGTTTCATGTTACGTTGTCTAGAGATAGATCTTGCATATGATACTAGCACTATGCAGTAGGTAGCGAGTCGAGTGGAGGTAAAGGATAGCTGGTTTACCGCTTCTCGGGAGTGTAAGTATTGTGCTGAGTCTGCCATTGATAAATAGATAGATGGCCTGTTGTTATTCTTCACTTCTTCCTTTTAATATCGCATTAGCTAATAGAGGGTTTCATATATTGATCTTGGTTTGTAATGTATACTCTTCACCACCTCTTAGCTACCTCTCCCTCTCCTCCTCGTGGCCTGTTCGTGATTATTTGATTCTTGGCCTCGTTGCACCAGTCTTCTTAGAAGTTCCAGAGCTGTAACTCGATTACCGTTACTTGTTACTCTATAGGTAAGCTCAACGCCTTATTGCAATACGATTTCCTAGCAATTTCTTTCGATTATTACTTTGGTGTAAAGTGTTGAGGCAAGTTTGGCCGGCAGCTGTTGGCAGCTGGCAGCTGGCGAGTTGCAACTGCTAATCAGCAAACTTCTTCCTCCTTTCCATCTTTCTATTTCGACGTCATCTGCACAAACGGAAAAGGCCCATCCAACGTAACTCTTGCAACATCACAAACACCATCTCTTCATCCTTTTCCCCTCTTCACTTTCTCCTTTCTCGTTTACTCGCCTCGTTCCGTAAATCAGCTATAACACGATCCGCCCTCACAAGGGGGCAAAGTGACTCTCTCAGTTGCGTGAACACTTTTCCCCAGATTCACGGTCCATGCGATAGTATATCAAACGCGGCTTCGCTTGACGACCAAAAACGTATTCTAACTTTCAAAGCAAACCAATACCAACAAGGCAAGCCAAAACCAATATATTCTTACCTTGATTGACAGCCCATGCCCCCCATTTCTGTACTGTTTGTCCATCATGACCAAAATCCTACGAGTTGACGACAAGAAAGAATGCGGCGCTGACAAACAATACTACGAATGTAGTTACTTTAATTTCAAATACGTCGGTTGTTGTACTCACGATCCATGCATCAAGCCTCGCGGCTGTCTCGACGACCCCGTCACCTCGGAACCCGGGTCATGGTTAACCAGTGACATGTCTGATACCGAGACCACTACACGCGGGAGATCTATTACCGTACTTAGCGATATGGGAACTTCTGTTTCCAGGTTCTTTATTTCAGAAGTTCCTGATACCAAAACCACTCTTGAGACTCGAAGAAGACCCAGTGTTTCCATCACCATGTCCGAAGACGAGGAGTCATCTTCACTTGCAAGCCGCACATTATTTCCCACGACTATGACCGACTCAGGCACTACTCGCACAGTTTCAAACCCCCATCGCGTTACAGTCACCAACAAAAAAACCATATATACCAGCCTGGGGCCTTCGACACCCAGCGGCTTCCTGACTTCGGTGACCTCAGCCGGTACGGATCAATTGCCGTTCCCTACCGGATCCTTTGAGAGCACATCTGTCTCTTTGCCTACTGAGACGGGTACCCCGAGTGCTTATCTCGGGGAGAACAGCAAGAATGGATCGCCTTCAATCGGGCTTGTTGTTGGTGCTGCCATCGGCGGTGTCACTTTCCTAGGCCTGATTGTCGGTGCAGTGATTTACATACGTCGTCGGAGGGCCAAGAACATCGAGTTCCCTAACACTCCCTACTACCTAGAAGAAAAGGGGGAGAAGAGCTATCTCAGCAGGATATTGTCACGCAAGAGCACTCGCAGGAGCCAGGACCCCTTTGCGCCGTTTGGAGGTATGTTACCAGATTCATCATCGGACGTCGACGAATCGCTACCGAAACGAATGCTAAACCTACTCTGCAGGCCGTATCGACAGAGTAGACAACCACCTCCAGCCCCCCAGTGGCACTTTTGAGATGGATGGCACTGACAATGTTGTGCATGAGCTTCCTGCCGTCACTTATGACGACGGTAACGAGAAGGAGTCTCACCCGGGAAGTCGCGCGGCAGCCAATTCGAATACTGGACACACTGCCGTTTCTGGACATTCCGCTCAAACTGCATATCCCACAGCGACTGGGAGCTGCATAGACCCTCGTGCCAACCTCAACGCAACCTTGGAGGATCGTCAACAAAAGCAATTCGTCAACCACTGGAATCAATATCGAGCTCTAGGAGAAAATGCGAATCAACGTCAATAAGGATGGAAGGATGTAATTACAGGAGGTATCGGGGGGCTGTCAATGGTTTGGCAGGAAAGGTGAACACATAGTGAGTGACAAGCATTTGATGGCGTTGTGCGGAGAATACTCTCGTTTTCTCCCTTGTGTTTTGTAAGACATGATTCGTTACTTGGAGCTCAAATTAAGGATCTATAGGTTAAAACTGCCCGAGGGTGGTATGCAGATCCAAGCTCTGCGCAAGCCTCACTCATCATAATAATGATATGTATTCTTTGCTATTGGATTAAATCTAGTAACAGACGGCAGTTCATTCTTCCCGTTTGCGGCCCGCTCCTCGGGGCTGAATCGGGTGAGCTTCCGTTTCTGCTGTATCACATAATTACTTGCTTATGTTGGAAGTGGAGAGCTGACTGCCTTACTCTGTACTTTAGATACTCGGAACCATTCGATTCGAGCTTGCTACATGCCGAGAATGCTTGTGCTAGGCACTCTCTGCGCTGACACCATGCACCATGCGCTGATTGACCAATCTGTGCTGATGTCTAACACCTTTATGCAGCACTTGTCAGATTGTTATGTAGTTTCACCGCAACTGCCTCGTCCTCGACAGGAGCCTATCACAACCCTCAATCCAGCATGATGATCTACCGAAGATGGAGGGGAGGTGGTATATTAGGCCTATCTGAGACTGCCGACCGAGACACAAAAGCTGTGGCTTCAGCTGAGTTCAAATACTGCAGGGAGAAACCCAAGACGGGAGCCTGGCAGAAACCAGGCTGTGCCCCCAGGTGTCCAGCACGAAAATTGGTATAAGATCCGAGGATAGACGGTCAATTGACTGTGGTGCCTAACTCTCAGTTCCAAGAACCCTTTTCTCTACATCTTTTTGGACATCACTTTACAAAATGCCTTCTGAGCCTCAAGTCTCCAAAGCTTTCCTCCCTCTAGAGGATGGCTCTCACCATGAAGCAACAGAAGATGCCCGAGCTGCTCCTAAGCGCATCGTCATCTGCTGTGACGGCACTTGGCAATCCTCTGTGTCAGGTCTCAAGAACATCCCGTCCAACGTGACAAGACTTGCTCGCTCTATTGCCCGCAGCGGCAAGGACAAGGATGGAAAAGTCTGGCAGCAGGTAGTATACTATGACGCAGGCATTGGTAGCGGAGATCTGGGTCAGACAGAGGCCAACCGACAGGGAGGCACAGGCATTGGGTTTGTAGGCAATGTCATTGAAGCTTACAACTTCATTGTCCTCAACTACAATCTCGGAGACGAGATCTTCTGCTTTGGCTTCTCGCGCGGAGCGTACACTGCTCGCGCGGTAGCCGGTCTCGTCACTGACATTGGCATTGTCTGTCCTAGGGATCTCCAAGACTTCCCAGACCTGTACGCCCTGTATCAGAAGAACCCCGATGGTTTGCACTTCCGCAAGTCGCAGGCTTATCTAGAATGGGTCAACGGCGTTCCCGCCAAGAAACAGTCCAACGGAGGATCTCAGGTTCCGTCTGAGTGGGATAGTCCTCCCCATCATGATGCACCCGAGCCCTCACGGTTTGTCAAAGTTATCGGTGTTTTTGACACAGTTGGTAGCCTGGGGATTCCGGACTTGCCCTGGACGCGCTTCAACTTGAAGTTTCTCGAAAAGACTATTGGAATCACCGAGCCGGGCTTCCATAACATTCACCTTAGCCCTTGTAAGTTAACGACTGAATCAGAAATTTGGATCTTCAAAACTGACATTCACTCAGACATCAAACATGCCTACCACGCCTTGGCTCTCGATGAACACCGAGGCCCCTTCTCGCCCAGTCTTTGGCACTTCCCAACCAACAAAGACCAGGCCCCAAAGCCTGCCAAGGATGTCAAGCAACTCTGGTCCGACTGGGAGAAGGTCTACAAGACTCCCAATGCCAGCAAGAAAGAGCTACAAGAAGCATGGGGCGCTGTCGTCGATGGTGAGATGTATGAGCAGTTGCGTGACAACAGGTCTGAGCTTCTGCAAGTCTGGTTCCCGGGTGTTCACATTAACATTGGTGGTGGAAATGACGATCCTCTCACAGACAAGAAGAGCGATTTCGAACGTGAGTCCACAAGCAGATAGTGATTTCTGAGTTTGCTAACAAAAGTAGAAATTGCACTCATCTCGTTCGGTTGGATGTGCGAGCAGGTCGCCCCCTTCCTTGAATTCGCTGAAGGCGGCAGCTTGGGTGATCTTGGCAAATCAGCAGTCCAAGATCGCTACAACCTCCTCAAGCCTCTCCTGACTAACATTCAAAACGGGGACGAGAAGGATTATGGTGGTGGTTTGCTGACAAGTCGCATCGCAGCCTCACTTGATCGCACTGGCATCAAGAAGGCAGACGTGCGAAAGATCCCAGAAGAGACCATCCGCGGCTGGGCAACAGGCCCAATCATTGATAGTTTCACAGGTGCCATGATTGCCAGTGGTTCGATTGACAGAACGCCTGGCAACTACAGCAAGGACGACAAGGGCCGCGAGCTTGGTGAAACTCACGAGATGATTCATCCATGCGTCCAGTACCGCATGAACAAAGTCTCCAGTTACAAGCCCAAGGCTCTACGTGGGTTTGAGAGAACTGCTGAGGGCAAAAAGGGGTATGTATGGAAGAAGGGTAATGTTCAGATTCCTGAGTTTGTGATCAAGACTGAAGATGCGTTTACGAGATATGTTGCTGAGCAGGATCGCTATGCGACTGAATTTATCAAGTCGATCGATAATGTTTCGGTCTGAGGACAGTTTGTAGTTAGTTAATTCAGCAATGTCATGTATTTCGATCCATCATCGAGTCTCAAATCAGTGTTAATTATAAGCCATGACGTTGAATTCATCTACGCTATTTTCTTATCGTCGACCTCGAAGGAGGGAGATTTGTAGCCTGGAAACTCTCTATATGATGCGTGTTGGTCGCACCGATATAAGCCATCCTTGTCTCTTGGATACTACCTAGATAGCTTGTGTCATTTGGTCCTGTCGAGTCTTTGCCTGTTACGACGATAGCTATTATTGGACATCTCTGTCCATGTACTTGTAACAAGAATCCTGCAACCTAAACATGTATAGATAGATCTTCAATCTAATTCTACTCACCAAGAATGAAACAAATCTAATTATTAATAGTTTGTCATAAAAACATCAGTAGTACAGGAACCAGGAAATATCCGATAGTCCGTCTGACAAGCAAGGAATGATGCACATTTCGAGCCATACCTTGATACTTGCACGGACTATGACCATCGTGTATTCCCTAAACAAAATATGCGGTGTCCCCTTTTACCCGCTATGCGCCTCAAATGCAAGAGTTTAAATAAAAAAAAAGTCGCCATCCTTCAAAATTACGACTTCCGTTTCCCAGAATTTTCTTTTTGATTCTTCGAACTTGAATAAATATGCGCGCGTCAACCACCGCGAAAAGATACCAATCTGTTGAAGTACGCCCTCGTTTGGTGTTGAGTTTGAACAAAGTCTCGTTATGTAGATGCAGTGAGCGCTTCATCGAGTCTGGAGCTTAGAAATCTCGTCGAGCAAATCCTGAAGGTCCTGATCCGAGATCTTGTCGGCCAGTGAAGGAATCAGTGTCTTCGCCTCGTCGGCTCCTTCACAGCATAGGGAGCCTAGGAACAAAGGGTCAGCATTCTTGAAGTGAAGCCGTCAGGCCGCCATGACTGCCATACCCAGCTGTGCGCGCTCAAACTTGGCAAGATTCTTGTGTGCGCTGAGAAGACGCTCAACAGCTTCTACGTTCTCCTTTTGCGTGAATCGCGCAAAGTTATCGAGGTAGGTGAGAGTCGAGTTCAACATCCTATACGCAGTCAGCCTCTATGTTCGCGATTCAGAAGTCACAGAGGTTGTTTACTCGGTGTTGTTAACGTTTCGGCGGTCATTCTTTCGCTTGGCGTGGAGAGCGTTTAGAACCAGAGCAGCTTCGGAGAGTGTCAGAGTATCAACATCCTGGAACTCTCCGAGATTGAGATTCGCAGAGGCTTCCTCGTTTCCGGGAGTTGGGGGCTTGGGTCGTGAGGTTCTAGGGTGGTGAACCTTCTTGGGCGGCTGCTGAGGAGCCGCTGGTAATTGTTGATCGTCCATCGCAAAGGAAGTTTTATGTTGAGAGCGTGTTAAAGGTGGGAGCTGTAATTCTACCGCGTGGAGTTCGTGTGTTCGTAACTAATCAGCGGGTGGTGAGGGTGATCGGTATGCGAAAGGGCCTTTGTTTAAAATGGGTATAATGGATATGAAAGTTGAAAGACGGGCCTGGAAGAGTCGAGAGATCGGAGACAGATACTGTACGTATCCCAACTTAATTAATTAGTGGGGCTACAATGCTACTGGGTTTAGGCCAGGTACCTCCCTGAAGTACCTAAAGTGAAACCTTCCAGTTGGTAGGAGAGTCGCGTGGCGGTCCCCTCCAGCCTCTAGATGTAGCATGTCTTGTCAATCAATCCATCAACCCTTATTAAATACTTCCACCATCAAACTGTAACAAGACTTGAGAGCACTCAAAGATCTATTACAAGTTACAGCCCACGATTTAATACAAGTAACTGTTCAAGTAAGCATCTCATTTCTACGCAAAGGCGATACTAATTCTGTACTCGCAGGCTCATCTCAACCCTCATCCCTCTCATTCTCACCCTTGCTCTCGTTCATGGTCCCTTCTTTGATATAAATAAACGGACGAGGCTCAGGGGCACGCAGACGACAAGCTAGGGTACTTGTGTTAAACAAGAAAGACGGGACATCATGTAAGGACGCTGCTCCTCGAAAGCTTAGAGGGCACATCATTAACCGTGTCACAGGACTATATTTGCTCTCATCATTATCAACAAGGCCGGTGGCTTAGTCTACAACAAAAACTTCCACGAGGGCCTCAAACAGATCAGCACAAATGACTATTTGGTCCTTGCTGGAACCTTTCACGGGTAATCCTCCCTCGATCTCTCCAATATGACTTCGTCATTCTACACAAGCGTACGAAAGCTCACATCGACTTCCAGTGTT